TTTATTATTTATGATTTGGCTGAGTTATACATTATGTTGTGGCTGGGTTATTTATTATGTTGTTACTGAGTTTTGTTTCTATTGCGGCTGATTTATCTATATATGTGTTTTAGGATCAGATGGCTATTTCTGAAGATCAAGCACGGGATTATCCTCCACGACTTTACGCTGAAGGGGCTTCTAATCTAGAAAATAAAGATATTAATCACAATTTGCAGATGGGAGATTTCCCTAACGTCAGAGAAGCAATAGGACGGGATGTGTGGGATCACATGAGGCAGGGTCCTCTTGGAATTATTGTGAAGCTAGCTGAACGCAAAAGCGTGTGGTCTGGTAGGACTATCCACTATCTACTATGTCGACAGCTTCGAGTACATAAGAAGGAGATTTGGAGTCTAGTTGGTGATGAACCTATCAGGTTTAGCTTACTCGAATTTGGTGAGATCACTGGGTTAAACACAGATCCAGTGCCAACAGAAAGTTTTGAACATGACCAATACAAAGCGTTTTGGGAGGAGTTGAATCTGCCGCTTGGGCTGGGNGTGTCTGAGTTATTAGTTATTTTGTGGCTGAGTTATTAGTTGTTTTATGAACACCAACAACCCAGCCACCATATAAACAATATCTCAGCCTCTTGGTATTAGTTTTGATGGCTGAGTTAGTATATACATAGTGGCTGGGTTTCTTGATATTAGTTATTTGATGGCTGAGTTAGTGTTTATATGGTGGCATGGTGGCTGGATTTTTGGTACTTTGTGACTGAGTTATTAGTACTTTGACAACTGAGTTATTATGTATTCGGTTGCTGATTGTGTAGGTGCGCGTGAGAAAAATGGTTCTGAAGGACTCCGTAGAAGAGATGTTTCCTCAGTGGCCGGATGAACCAGCTGACCCGCAACTCGTTAACTTGATAACAGACATATATGCAGGTCGGTTTGTTAGAGGTTTTTGAGGAACACAGATGAAACGCAAACAAACAAACGCAAAGGTTTTTGGTGTTTCGTCAAAGGTTGAGCCACCCATTAAGAAGCAGAAGAAAGTGAGGAGCTTCCAAGAGGATGAAGCTGATGTGGTGGGAAAGGGTGCTTACGAGAAGGAAGGTAATGATGATATTAGCCAAAATCCGATACTGTTGAAAATGTTGTATACTCTGGATAGAATTGACTCAAAAATAGACAGCCACGAGACCAACTTCGAAAACTTCAACGAGCGGTTATGCAGAATGGAGTCCAATTATACGAACATTCCTGATTTAGTCAGAGTTGCAGTGGACGAGTATTTCTCTAAAGTTCCCCAACAATCTTTAACGTTGCCAGCACCAGCACAAGCACAAGCACCAGCACCACCGCCGCCACCGCCACCGCCACCGCCAAACTTTTTTCCGCAGCACTCAGTCAATAGTCCACCTGCTAAGGCCTCTGTCAATAGTACACCTGCTAAGGCCTCTGTCCATAGTACACCTGCTAAGAATTTGGGAGACACTGTTGATTTCGTTGGTATTTCTCCTGCAAAGGACCCAGCCTTAGAACGCGGG